GCTGCTTTCAGATCCACAGGAGACCCAAGGTAGATGTGCCGGCGTTCGCAGACCCTGGAGTCCCTTCAAATTATTCTAGTTTACTGTTTCTTTTAATTTAAAAATAGTTGTACTTTCTTTCATCCAGTATTTGTAGTGACTCTTAGAAGTTCGTGAATGGTGACACCAGTTTCTGGGTAGTTGTGTATAAGTACTTGGGTTATTATAAAATTTTACACTTTTTTTTAATCTGTTTTGGTTTAGTTGTTGTTATCTACTGATTTGGTCAAAGGTTAGCGTATTAAATCCTTAACTGTTGGCTTGCCTAGCATTCAAAAAGTTAGGCGCCATTACGGTCCCGACAGTGAAAAATACGGGTTGTGACAACTTAATACAATTTTGATACATATCAACAACGTTATGTAAAAAGATAGTATTGATAACTTGAATACAAATTTTATACAATGATTCATATATTATATAACTATTTTATAACTTCTACACAACATTCAAATNNNNAATATATATATATATATATATATATATATATATATATATATATATATATATATATATATATATATATATATATATATATATATATAACTACAACAGAATACAATTTACCTATAATTTCGTAAGAATATTCTATGTTGTGTCTTCTTCTGGGGGAGGAGGGGGTGACGTGGGGAGGGGGAGGGAAGGGCTGTATCAGTTACATCCTAATTTTAAGGATGCTCTGTTTATTAATGTTTTGTATATAAATAGTAAATAGAGATGGAGAATATAATCTTTAAGGAACCTAAAAAAAAGTGATAAATAAATTTCTATTATAGTATAACTAGGTAAATTTCTCAATTATAAAAGCATTGTTTAAATTAAGATATAGAAGTTTGAAATTGGGCCTCGACCAAATCCTAGCCTCAGACTTAAGTATAAATTTGAACTTAAATTTGAAAACTCCAGACCTGCAATTCGATTTTGAGCAACTAAACAACTTGCAGGAATATTTCAAGTAAGTCTCAACTTATCAATATCTAGCCATTAATTATAGACTAACCAAAACTAACCAAACCCATACAAAAATTGAAAACTCAAATAAATAAGGTTCTTTCTCTCTAAATATCACACGCAAAGTTTTCCTTCCATATTTTTTAAGCGTGAATAGTTACATTAGATGCAAGACGGAAAGGATATTTCATGGAGAAGGTAGCAAATAAGACGACGAAATACAAAAATTATATATATAGATTCCAAAAATTTAAGCAAAAAATGACCTTTTTCTATGGATATGGTTGAAATTCATTGAAAACATATAGACGAGTCAATAGACAAAATTTGAGGAAGATTGGAGGTGATATGGACTGATTTGGTATCAAAATTCATAGTTAAATCGAGTTCAAAAATTATCCTGCGACAGATGTTTCAAACATTTCTCTCTCTCTCTCTCTCTCTCTCTCTCTCTCTCTCTCTCTCTCTCTCTCTCTCACACACACACACACACACACACGCCTTAGGGTACGCGCTTTGCGTGTGTACCTATATAAGAGTATAGAACTTTTTAAATAATTGTCTAAATATTAATAAATAGCATGTTTGTAATATAAAATAAAAATTAGAAAATATAAATTCCTGAGAATGATGAATATTTATCCTATTTAGTTGGATAAATAAATAAAAAAATATGATTTATCCGATTGTCTTATTTCTTTCTCTTTGCCTCCCTCTATCTTTCTCTTCTCTTCTATTCTTAATTATTTATTTGTTATTTGTTTTGATTGCCAAGTATCATCTAAAATATTACAAAAAACTAATGAAGTGAAAAATATTATTTGAGCCGATAATTAATGAGTTTAAAAATAATATCGAATGATATATAGTCATGTTATATATAAAATAAAAAGAATTATGGTCATGTTACAATATTCGAATAAGAAATAATTTATATAAGTTAAAATCTCGATTTCTTTTAGAATTTATAATATCAAGACATCCAAAATTATTCGGATAATGAAGGATTTAAAAGGTTAACAAGTTAATGAATGTATCAGTTTGAATCTTTTTTATTTGGCTTTTACCAATCACTTTTGTTTGCACTTGCCAAATAAAGTTAGACAAAATTGAAAACACCCGTAAGATGTTCATGAATTTATGCGTGGGCTCTTGTCTTTCGAAACTTATGCCTCAAGCGCAATGGAAGAACACTTGTTATGGATCCACCACCTTAAGCACGGGCTCGTTCTACGATTCTCGTACAATTGTATATAAAACTTTAAAGATCATAAAACATTCATCATTAACCACGTGATTGTCAAAAACTCTATTAATTAATTAGATTTTAGAAGTTGAGAACCCTAACATCACGTCATGACAGTGGATTTGGTAAAACATATATGGAAACTCTTCTATTTTTAGTTTTTATTATCCAATTCTTATACTTTTCTCTTCAAATCTTATTCTTTACATTATTTCGTTTGATAGCAATATTTTCATAAATGTGGATTATGAAACTTATTTACTTAATAATTAATGTTATTGACTAACAACTCACAAATAATTATATTCATTGATATTTTTTTAGTAATGAATTAGAGTACTGAATTATTTGTTAATTTTGTAGTAGCTTATTAAAAGCACATAATGCTAAATTGCATTACGTAATTTAGCATTAAGTAACTATTAATTTTTCTAAAAGTGTGAATTTCCAAAGAATCAATAATTAAAAAAAAAAAAGTTAACAAAAGAAAAATGACTCCTTAACCTGGAAGGAATATAAATTGTTCGAAACTATCCTAATGTGAGTTTGCATTCGTTCGTTTTAATCATTTCTTTTTCCTAGTTGTAATTTTTTTAATTTCTTTTCTCCTACGTGCCTTGGAACTAAGGTGAATTTGCAATATTTTCTAAAGCTTCTAAACCTAAAATGTGGTTTTTATGTATTATGTGTTATTTCATTATTTTTAGTTGCAAATATGGTATATTACATAATTAAATAAGAAAAAATTCAATACAGAAAACTTAGTTGATATAGAAGTCCTAATTATTAGGAAATAATTAAAATCCTAAATATTATGGATAATTAAATGACTATGTCCTAATTTTAGGAAAATAATCAAATGACTATTTTGTCTAGTACGAACTCTATTTTAAAAGGGTAAAAAATGCGAACGATATTTTGTTAAGGGCCTTCGTGCTTTTAATATAATATATATATATATATATATATATATATATATATTCATGTTCGTCTTCTGCTTTGAATTTTCAATTCAACAACAACAACAACCACCCAATTCAAACTACCTCAAAACTCCACCAAATTATCCCAAAAGTGAGATTCAAGCTTCTTAAGATGTACCCAATCTATTCTACTAACACCTACTCAAAAGAAAGCAAAAAATTTATTTTACACCTTATAGAAAAGCTTAGTACCCTATTTATTTTAAATAAATACCATTTTAAAAAATTATATTATATAGCTATCTTTTACCCTTTATAGCAGAATATCTAATTATAGTTATATCCTACACTTAAGGCACCATATACGCTAATTAATATTTTTTTTCTTCTTTTTCAGATTTTCTCTCACTTAATCACGGTAAATTTCACGAACCACGTTTTCTCTCTCTTTTTGCATACACTTTACTCTCTTCTCCCACAAAACCACGATTGAATCACCATCTCCTACGACGTTGTAATACTCTCTGGAAACTGTCAACACCTAACAATTCTTTTTCATTCGCTTTACTCCCACACTATCCCCTTTTCCCCAGGCAAAACTCGTTAGTTTTGTTCACTTCTATGACTATATTTCGTGAAAAGTTTAGAGAGGTATGGAAGGATTGGAGCAGCGTAGCCGTGAAGGCAATGGAGATGGGTGTTTTGGGTGGTGAGTTTGATCATGGCTTCGTACCTGGGAGTTGCGAGGAGTGGTACAAAAGCTATGATGGTACTGATGTGTCAAAAGCAATATACAGGATGCGTGGAACAGTGAGATTCAGTGTTTTTGCTCGACGGCGAATTCGTCGAAAATTAGGGTTTGTTCTTGAACAAAGACGACGGATTTTGGGGCTGAGCAACTTGTTTTTCTGTTAATATATTTTAATGTATTTTCAACGTATCACGTTGTATTTTCATGTATTTCATTATCTTTTTTTTCATTGTAATTCGATGTATTTTGTTGTATTCCATGTATTTCATTGTATTCACTGTCTTTTTTTTCATTGTATTTCAATGTATCCCGTTGTATTCTATGTATTTCATTGTATTCACTGTCTCGCTATATGCCATGAATGTATTCATATATTTTTTTTTAATTAATGTAATTCATGTATTCAGATGTATTATATAATTTCTCTGAAGATTGCTTTGTTTTTGGTGTATTTTTCGGTTGAGAATCTTTTTTATAACTGAAAATACAAAATTTGTGTGTTATAATTGAGTTTGTTGAGTTATATTAAGAGTCTTTTATGTTAATTGATTCACTTTTCATTTTAAAAACAGTGTAATCCCCTATTTCACGCCGTATATACAGTCGAATACAATAATATGTCTAGCTGTAATCCCACGTTTTACTCCATGAATACAGTCGAATACACTCGAATACAACAACTGATTAGCTAGACTTCCCTGATTCACGCCTATTTTTGCTATTGTATTCATGAATACAATAGCTTAAATACATCAAATACATCTTATAACCACAGAAAAAAGTATCTATAATCCGTAATATAGTAAATGATATCTATAGATGGCTAATTACTACTAAAAGATAGTGCTTTATGAAAATTTTCTCTAAATAATTAGTTGGGTAATATTAGTAATATTTTATAAATTAGCCAATTTTTGTAATAAACAACTTATAAATGGACATAACTGGTAGTTTATAAATTTTGATTATTCTCTAAATAGGGGTCTTATGCTCCAACTGTTATAAAACCCATGTCCATTACGTAAACCCAAGGCCCAAAAGCCCATAAAACCTAGGGTCTCATTTGCTAGTTATCCTCTCCCATATATAAACAAACAAAAACCTAGCTAGGGTTTTTATCCATCGTTCACAGCTTTTACCAAATCGCAAAAATGGTGAAATTCCTGAAGCCAAACAAAGCCGTAGTCGTACTCCAAGGACGCTACGCCGGGAGGAAAGCTGTGATTGTTCGAGCCTTTGACGATGGGACACGTGACAGGCCGTACGGTCACTGTTTGGTCGTCGGCGTATCGAAATACCCAAAGAAAGTGATTCGTAAGGATTCTGATAAAAAACAGGCGAAGAAATCACGGGTTAAGACTTTCATTAAGCTCGTTAATTACAATCACATTATGCCGACGCGTTACACATTGGATGTTGATTTGAAGGAAGCTGTTACTGTTGATTGTCTTCAGTCACGTGATAAGAAGGTGACTGCTGCTAAAGAGGCGAAAGCTAAGTTTGAAGAGCGATTTAAGACTGGGAAAAATCGCTGGTTCTTTTCCAAGCTTAGATTTTGAGTTGATTTTGCTCTTTATTTGGTAACTTTCTATTCTGAGTGTTATGGGTTTTGCTTTGATTCTGTTTTGTTTAAATGACATTGGATTTGAAACGATAGATCTGTGTTTTATCTTTAGTTATTGTTGTTCACAAGACTAATGTTTTCTATATATTGATGTTCTGCTTGAGAAGTGGTTTGTCGATTGACATTTCTATTGTTTTGCTGGAAATGAACATCACCACTCCTAATGGATTTAGGTTATATATACTGTGAATTTTTATACTATTCAGTGTATTATCATTACTTTAGACCAACAAATTAAGATTTAAGTTATATACACTGTTTGTTGCAGTTGGTACTGCTTTATTTCTTCATTCTTGAGCCGAGGCTCTATCCGAAACAACCTCCTAGCTTTCCTAGGGTAGGGGTAAGGTTTGCAAACACACCACCCTCCCCAGACCCCACTTGTGGGATCTCAGTGGGTTTGTTGTTGTTGTTGTTGTTGTTGTTGCTGTTACACTGTTTGTTGCAAGTTATTTAGTCATTTAAGCTAAAGGTGTAAAGAAACAAACATGAACTTGTTGATTTAATTGCTTTCTGAGGCGTTGCGTGCATTGGTCTATTAATATTCAATGGACGTGTCAAGGAAAGCATAGAGCATTGGTCTATTAATATTCAGTGGACGTGTCAAGGAAAGCATAGAATAATGTCAATCCAAACTGGTTTTTGTGATTTCAGCGAACTGAACTGATTTCTTATCTAGTTGGCTTGATAGATGGATTGCAACATGTAATAATTTGAAAGTGCATTTTCTGGCTGGGCTCAAAGAAATCAATTTTGAGCTCCTGAGAAGAAGTAATCTCGGTATTTTGCTCGTATGTTTTTGTTCCCAGGCTCAGACAACCTTTCCCCACTTGTGGGATTCCATTGGGTGGTGGTTGTTGGTGTTGTTGTTGTATGTTTTTGTTTGTGTATATGTGGTTGCTTCATATGGTGAACTCTCTCTTAAAATTGAAGTGAGGGGTGTTCAAGTTTCCGAAGCATAAATGAAATGTCAGTATTAAACAGCATGGTGTTTATTTCAGTTGCACCTTGCTACCTGTCTCCTGATACATTCAATATTGTCATTTCCATGTTTTAGGATACTCTATAGTGGATCTTGTAAAGAGATGGTTTAGGTGCTTTCTTGTTTCTAATACTAAATGAACATGTTTTTTAAACTATAGCAAGTGCAATTTACAGTATAGCTATTAGCACTGCGTAGTTAAATTTGATGTTATTAACACGGGATGATTTGTTAAACAGTAGTAAATTGTGCCGAGGCACAAGGAAGCTGTTACTGTTGATTTCCTTTAGTCAAGTGACAAGAAGGTGTCTGCTACTAAAGAAGCTAAGGCCAAGTTTGAAGAGCAATTTACCAATCTTAGGTTTTGAGTTGTTTATTTGGTAATTTTCTCTTCTGGGTATCAAGGATTCTGTTTTTTCTTGTGTTGATTAAACGGCATTGGATTTGAAATGATAGATCTGGTTTTATCTTTAGTTAATATTCGCATTGCTATTGTTTCTTTATACAGATATCTGCTTTTTGTGAGAGGTTTGTTGACTAATCTTGCAATTGCTTTGATGGAGATGAAAATGACTACTCGTAATCTCTATAAAGGAATTTTTATTGTAGGTCATTTAATCAACTTTGTCAAGAAGTTGAACACCATTTTGTATAGAAGTTAAACATATAAATTAAATCGCTTTCTTGGCCTTACTTGTGTTGTTCTGTTAATATCCAATGGGCGTGTCGAGGGAACCATAGAATAATGTCAATCCAATGTTTGTGCATATCTAGTTTGCTCGACTGTTGGATTGCAATATGTAATTCCCAATCAGTGCATATTCTATTTGTGCTAACAGAAATCAATTTTTAATTCTTGAGAAGAAAACTCGGTCTTATGTTCGTATGTTTTTTGTTTGTGTATGTTGTGGTTGCTTCATATGGTGAAGGCAGAATAGCGTGATAGACACCAGTACTTGTTAGTGTTTGTCATCCCGATCCTTGTACCTAATATAGTTTATTTGGCATTTGTTATGTGGTATTTGTTCTGCTGAGTTAAAAAAAAAGCAAAATACATAAAATGACACCAAACCTTATAGTCAAATCCCTCTAACACACCACTTTTTTCTTTTTGAAAATTGCATCACACGAGCTAGTCAGAGTGTGACACGTGTAACTCAAAAGGAAAAAAAGGGACCTAATTTACTACCCAGATGATAATATTTTAGAAAAGAAAAAGAAAAAAAAAAAGAAATTCCCCTCTGCCCCTATCCTCATCTTCCCCAAGTCCCCTCCTCGGTTCTTTAATCTTCCCTACCCAACAGTTGATTTCCTACCGAATTAAGATTTTCTCTAAGCTTTGAATCCCTTGAAAGCTTTTGTTTGAAAGCTTTTGTAAACTTTTTGATGTGTTGAACATAACTGAAAACGAATTTGAAGAGTTAGAAAATATGGACAGATTTGGAAGAAAGAGAGAATAAAGAGGAAGAAAAAAAGTGCACTGTTTGACAAAAGAATATCATATTTTTCGGCAAGACATCCATATTTTCCGGCGATCGAGCTTCCCTTTTATTTTTTTTTGAGCTCAAAATTTAGTGAAGTGCACATGGTAATCCATGTTAGACTTCCCAGATCAGTTTTTAACAATAATCGCCAATACATTCGGATTTCAAATCTGGGTTTTTAAATAGGAGTACAATTGAAGGCTTCTTCAATGGTACCTTTCTTTTATTTTACTCTTCAAATTCGAAATTTTGAGTGAGTAACAATACTCGATCCAAAGTAGTTAATGAATCAACTTCCAACACCCAATATCACTTTATTCAACAACCCAAGATTTAAACTCCGATAGAAATGGGGTCACCCAAAATGGAGGTTTGCCTGATTTTGGAAATGGGGATAATGGTTAACCGAAGATGAGGGATAACGATTGGGAAAATGATAAAATTAAAAAAATAAAACAGTTGGACACGTGGCATCCATAGAGAGCTTCAAACACACGAAATTTTCTATTCACGCGCCTGATTCATGTGTAGGACATGCGGGGTGCTGCCTAGCTAAAGTGGTATATAATAGACACACTTTAAAAGGTTTGGATAAGGTTTGGATGTGTAATAATATTTCATGGTTATCGGGTGTGTAAGAGGGATTTGACTACAAGGTTCGATGTCATTTTATGTATTTTGCCTCAAAAAAATAAGTGGTTACACGTTCTAAAGTGGATGTACTAATTTTAATTTAAAAATATTATAAATCATAAAAATAACAGTAAAAGCAAAAAGAGTAAAATAATTGCCCAAACCAAGTCCCTACCCTCTTTCGGCCCAACCAGTGGCGGATTCAGGATTTTAAAGTTATGGGTGTTCGCCGATAAAAACTTCAAAAGAAGAGGAAAAATAAATTTACTTATAGGTGCTCACTCAATATTTATCTAAATATTTGTACCGTTGCCAATATAAATTTATTAATATGATCAAAGTTAATGGGTGTTTAAACACTCACAACTCTGTATGTGCATGCGCCACTGGGCCCAACATGTCTTGAACCCCTTCCTTGTCCCCCGTAAGTTACTAACTTTAACTTGTTATTGTTCAAATTCCATTATTTTTTATTGATTTTCATGCCTAAATCTATGTTTTCATAGATAGGAGTTTTGGGTAGAAATTTAGAATTTCGTATGTTAGAGATTTAGGCCTCGATTTAATCACATATTTGGACTCGGGGGAGAATGGGTAAACACGATTTGTTCCTAATTTCTGATTTTCATTATGCGAGTCTGCTTCTCCCCCTCCTTCCTATCGGAAAACCTCCTCCCCCCTTCTGCCCCCATACCATCCCAATTTTTTCTTCTTAATTAAGATCATATTGAAAATGAAAATAGAGTACTGCATCAAAATTCCCGTATGAAGATTCATTTCAAACTAAATCAAATGCTATCTCTCTAATCTCCCTTTCTCCTGATTAGGTACGCTCCTAGTAGGAGAAGAAAAAAGTATTTTGCGGTATAAAAATTGAAAGTATATTGTTGTCCTAAAAGTGGTTGTCGCCCCCTTTTTTTATAACTATACTTTCAAAATAGGTACACTGCTCGTTGGTTGTTGGCCCGCTTTTTGTGTCTGTTATTGAGGATTTACTTTGTTGAAGCCTGTAAATTCCAAGATTATTATGGTGATCTGAATTTTACCTAAAATAGTGAAAGTAAGGAGATGAAGCAAGATAGAATTTTTTTTATGAAAATTGAAGAGTTTTATATATGAGTTGGGGTTTAAGATTGTGCTTAGAAAGGAGGAAAGAGAGCAAAACGGTGGAGGCTGAAGTTAATTTGTCAATTACTGAGTCTGAACAGATGATGGCCTGTAACCCTCGTTGCTTCTAATAAGAATGAACAAATCTTTACCTTTCCCCTTACTGAGCAAATGGTTGTTGCTCCATGTGTAAAATATTCACTACTCACTGGCTGCTGGAAAGACATTCTTACTCAAAACCATGATCAAGACATTTCGACATAGGAAATTCAAATTGAAAATTATGGTAAAGTTTTAACGAAACTAATGAGATCTACATTCTGAAGAAACAAGGCTTTTCGTTGAGTAAATACTCCAACGAATAAGCAACTTGAGAAGAAATAAGGGGTAGTTTGGTTGGAATTGGAAACAAGTTATTCATGATTAATTATTCTGGGATTAGTTTTCCCACACTTCCATAGAAACAAAAAAATAATATACTTCCGGGAAAGCTAATTTTAGGATTAATTATGTCGCAATTTTATCCAAACTATATATGGGATAAACTCATCTCAAATTTAATCTCGGGATTTTAATTATCCCTTATCCCTCGTATCAAACCAGCTCTAAGCTAGGTCTAGCGAACTTGTCCGGCACAAAGCACAAGTGTTAAAACCCAGCCAACACCCATTGGTTAATTAATCTAAATAATTATTCAACTCTTAAGCTAAAAATGACCACCAGAAATATATTATATGTATATGTTTTTGTAAAAGTAATATATGTACCGACTAAAATCATAAACAATGTATTGGGCCAAATAGTGAGAGACGTCCAAAACGTAAAAATTGCACGGGGCGCCCTATTTGGTTAATAGGGCGCCCCATTTAACCTATATCCCTTTTTTTAAAAAGTTTTAACTTGTACCCATTTTTAAATAACTTTAGCCCCTTTCTCCTCCTCCTTTTCCTCCTTCGTTTTCTTCTTCTTCTTCTTCTTCTTCTTCTTCTTCTTCTTCTTCTTCTTCTGCTGCTGCTGCTGCTGTTGGTGCTGCTATGAAACTTCAGTTCATGGGATGATTGTCATAAGTATGTTTATCAGATTATTTAAAAATAAATTATAAATAATTACGTAAGTTACTAGACAATAATTTGTGAATATTTTCACGTACGGGAAGTTTAAGGTCACACTTAGTGATTCTTTTCATGATAATTCTGTTCTTTTCACGTTTATTGTTTTCAAAATTTATGATTTAGATACTGTTGGCAATCTGATTATTTTATAGTAGTAATACACTATGAAAGAATAAGGTGATTATTTATCTAGTATGTTAGAAAGCTTTTTCAAAAACTTCAGCTTATATAGTGCTGAAGTTTTTACAAATAAACTAAATAACTTCAGCATCTTCTGCTGAAGTTTTTGAAAAAGCTTTATGACAAAACTAATGAATCTAGGACAAAAAAACTTCAACTTATATAGTGCTGAAGTTGTTACAAATTAACTAAATAACTTCAGCATCTTCTGCTGAAGTTTTTGAAAAAGCTTAATGACAAAACTAATGAATTCATGACAAAAAAAACTTCAGCTTATTTAGTACTGAAGTTTTTACAAATGAACTAAATAACTTCAGCATCACAAAACTTCAGCTACTAGAATGCTTAAGTTCAGCAATTACAAATAAAAACTTCAGCAAATAGAGAACAAAACTTCAACACTAGAATGCTTAAGTTCAACAATTACAAACAAAAACTTCAGCACACTTGGTTCAGCAATTTTTGCTACTTCAGGCCCGTCTACTAGAATGCTGAAGTTTGCGTGATTGCCTTTGCTACTTCAGACCCGTATGCTGAAGTTATGCGAAAAAGTGAATACGCTTGCAATTTTTTTTACAAAGCGGATACAAGTTAAAACGTGACCCAAAAAACGGGTAATAGATGCAAATGCCAGTCCAAAACCCCCTAATTTGGGGACCCAAAAGGAATGGAAACAAATACATAAAACTCTTTGTATGGACTATAGCTTTTTGGTCCACATATCCTTTAACTCAATTTCAATCCAGAGAGGGATCACACTCAACCAGCTACGTGAATCAAATGCAAAAGCAATATACTAGTCATCTGTACATATTTTGCTAGTACATCTTATCTCTTCGACATTGTTTGGTTTTTTTATTTAATAAACTGATATAGATAGCGAAAGTTTGTTTCATCCCCTTCTTTTATGGGATTCTTTTTTATTTTTTATTTTTTTTATGGGATTCAGATATCACTGTAAA